TTGTACTTTATGTAAAATCTCAATTAAATATTCAATAAAGATAGAGGCATGGCCTCACCATTAATATTAAAAAAAAAGAAAATTAGAATGATTATGTTTTAAATCATTTAACAATTTAAGTTGATTCCAAATTAACCTAAATTATTATTAGATTTTAAAATGACCTAGATGATTTTTCAATCAGTGAATTTTTTAAAAATTTCAAATTATATACCTTAGCAATAAATTATATAACCCAAGCAATAATATAAATTATATTATTAAAGTTCTTTGACATAAAAAAAACAAACTTTTATATAAAGAAATCAAAACTTATAAAAATTCTTTATAATAAATTTAACATATTAAAAGAAATACTTTAATGTTTTAAATAAAAAATCATATAAATATTGCATCTAAAGTAACAATTTATCTAAAATAACTATTTTATTTAGTTATCTCTCATTTTGTATATACTGTACCTATAACTATAAAGAATAATAACAGGCATGCCTCTTCCATTATTGAACAACCTATGCAAACTTTGTAAGTATTGACTGATTAATATATGCTTTCTATTATGACTTATCATCATTATTATAATTCCAATTATTTGAAACAGTTGTCTTAATTGGCCACCTCATCATTGTAACTGTCATTTGAACAGGTCACAATTTAAAATACCTGCAAACCTGCAAAATTATAAAACTGTGAAACTATGAAATTATGAAACTATGAAGCCTACTTATTCTTGTCTTTTTAGAAATGACTGTCATCTTGGCAGGCCAATTCACTTAAACAATGCTAAATACATGGGTGGGTTGATATAACCAAAATAAAAATCAGGTTGCAGAAAAACAAAATTATCTTTCAATACTTTTACAAATTTACTCTTATATACTCCAATCAAATTACCTCATAATTACTCAAATACCTTTAACTAACAAAAGCACTAATCACATGTACCATATTCTTATCAATAACCACATTATCAATTATTTAAATTACCTTATTCCTACTAAATACTAAATCAAACAAACTCTCATCTATTACTATATAATTAGCTGCTCAAAAAAACTTTATACTTATGTCAATAACCACATTATTAATTGTCACAGATTATTATAAAGATTGTCTAACAAAAGGCAATCATGTGATTTTTATTAAATTTGCATATACAAACATGAGGCAGGTCCAATACAATAAACCCTATTTATTTATAAACTCTACCCTAGAAATCTATTTCTGAATCTATATTATCTTCCTAAAAATCTATCTCTGAATTTGCATTATACCTTCTAAAAATTTATCACTGAATTTGCATTATATAACCTAGCTCCAAATCTAGTCCCAAACACTACATAAAAAGCTAAAAACCTATGTTTAAAAAAAACTACAATTTTAGAGAAAAAAATTACAATTTTAAAGAAAAAAAAAACAAGTTTCTTAGTTTTTCTTTTTAAGATTAGGGCAAAGAAGATAATGTGGCTGATAGTGATAACACAGCTAATAGTGATGACACAGCTAATGAAGGTGACATGGCTAGGGGGTATAAAAAAGAAGTTAAACAAGGTAATACTATAAATATAAAGTTGTAAATTTAAGATATCATTTTTATTTTTATTTTTAATTTGGCAAACTCTTTTTACAGAATAACAAACAGTATTTCCCTTAGGCATTTCAACAATAACAGTTTTGTTATTGTTGGTCATACTAATAACAGTTCTGGTTTCATTAAATGTAGTTTGGAGTTTTCTTTTTCTAGTCGATAGATTCATATTAGTATTAGAGGCTACAGCAACTGGCTGTTCAGCCTTATAAAGATTCTTACTATGATAAACACTTGCATGTTTAAGCATATATTTTCAGGATTTTTTCAGATAAGTGTTAACTTCATTATGAATTGCAGAGACCTTCTTTAGATGATTTTTTATAGTTTGAGGTGTAGTTTGTATATTGTCTTCTATTTTCTGAAAAACTGTTAGTATACTTTATGAAGCTTATATCTAAACATTACTTCACAGAGAGTTTTATCATAAGAACTATGAAAGTAGTATTATAAGAAAAAATAAATTTTGTTAAGTTATCTTTCCAATTAACATTTTGCAATTGAAGTTCTTCATTCCATAACATTTTTGTTAATTTATGCCCAATGGTCTGATTCAAATGCTCAACTTGCCCTTGTGATATTGGGTACCATGGGCGGCCATGCCAAATCATAATTCCACAAATTTATTTATTTACATCAGCAGTAAATTCCTTGCCATTATCAGACTGCAAGATTGAAGACACACCCCATTGGAAGAAAAGAGAAGCCAAGGCTTTACCAACTACATCTGTTTTTTGTTTTAAGTGGAATAGACTACAAAAATTTTGAAAAAATGCAAACTATTATAAGAAGCCAAGAAAATCCATCATTTTTATCTTTGTAAGCTGTAAAGTTTATAAGATCTATTTGTATATATTCCATTGGTCATAGCTTACAACAGGGATTAGATCATCCTTTTCTTTAATCGAAGTAGTTTGATTACAAGTATTACAGTTTTGAACATATTTACAAACATCTTTTTTTGTAATACCAATATGATGTGCCATAATTTTTTTATGACAATCATTCGCATTAATATGACAGTTATTGTCATGAAATTGTTTAAACAAAGATAACTGAAATTCAATGTCTCAGATAGGTATAAAGTGCCTAAGTGGCTGGTCATTAAGTTGAACATGAAGATAATTATTTTCTAATTGCCAAAGTTTCATCTTATATTTAAAATTCCATTGATATTTCGATTTAATAGAAGTGGGTATAGTTTCAGTTTTAAGATAGTTGACTATATCTTGATATGATTTAGATGTTTTTGGGAAATCAGCTTTGTAAACCATAATATGAATTTTTTTTTTTTTAGTATACTAAAGACTTTTTTTTTGCAAAATTTTTTTTTCTTGTTTTTATATCATTTTTATAATTGTATAAGTACATCACAGTATAATCATCGAAAATATAATGATGATTGTATAGAGCTCTTCTACATGTATTGTAATCAAATTATAAATTCTGATATTTTATTATTTTTTAAAAACTGCAAGTAATAATAAGATACTTGGTGTTATAATTTAAAAACTTCAATCATTTGTTCGTAAATAAAAGGTTAATATAAATTAAATTTATTTGTACTTCAAAATAATAACTTGTTTTCAAAAAGAACAGGCTTTTTTAATGCATTATTTCTATACTGTACTAAAAGATTTGATTATTTGATATATATATTAATATACAGTCACACCCCTCTAAGTGCACACTCTCTAAATGCACACCCTCTCTATATGCACATTACAGCATGGTCCCATGCTTAGGACTTAGATGCCCTCTATATTCTGCACATACACAACCTTTCGAAGTCTAAGCATATATATATACCCCTCTAAATTTACACATGTGACTAATTTCAAAGCTGACCAATAATAATAAAGGATTTTTCTACAACCCACATTAACACACATATATAATTTACGCTAGGTGCAAAGATAACCACATAAACCTTTTTTAAAGTTTTATTTCATATAAGATTAAGCCATGCAAAGTTAATTACTTGGTTCTCATAACATGAAATTTTAAATCTAACCTGGCCAGCCAGCCAGCTTTTTTTTTCAATTTCATATATAAAATTTTATAAAATTTTTTTATAAAAAATCTATCTGATTATTATCATTCTAACAAGAACAGCTGATTAAAATATTGACCAAATAAAATTTGCTGATTCGATAAGTTTTTGATCTGACATACAGATTCAATACTGTATTAAGTTTTCACTTGAATGCATGTTTGGTGTGTTTAATTTGTACGAAAATTTATGGCGAAGATTATTCTTGCCAACAATAAATCTTAACAGAAAACATAAAAAAGAATCTAAATACATATAAGATAAGCTTTCATAATTAAAAATCAGACACCTATTTCAAAAGAAATACCATAAGAAATGTATTTGTTTCAAGAATAAATGATCTATAAATTCTATTTTATAATAAGTGTAAGCTATTTATTCAATAATGCTTTTACTGAAAAAGTTTACATACTTCATAAATTAATTCATTTTTCGATTTCAAAATTACAAGAGTAGGCGCTAATAAAAAAAGTTCGATATGATCAAGAATACATTGATTGGATTAAAAAAATATAACAAGTTATAATTCCAAACAACCAAAATTTTATTAATATTTCAAAGCTATATTGAGGATTATAATCAACTAAATCAGAGTAAAATTTATTTTATTATATAAAATACAGTAATTATTATAAAATACAGATTGAAAAGAAAACCACCCATGAATATGAATCAGACAAAAAATGCTTTAGCTAATATTATGTATCAATATGGATATATAGATCATTACTGAAATTACTAACTTATCAAATCAGTAAATATTTATTTGTCAGCTGTTCCAGTTAGAATAAAAACAGCTGTAAAACATATAAAAAATTTTTTTTTAAAGTTTTTAAACTTTGATCCAGCCAGGTTATGAGAACAATTCATATATTTTATGTGGCCTAAGCACAAAAAAAAAAAAAATAAATAAAATTTATAAGGTTGGAATTTAAAAAATCCTTGATATTTATTAGCACATTAACAAAGATATTTAAGATTATTTATTTAATTTCCTCTCATAAAAAATTGATCAATTTTACTCTGCCACATGTGGACAACCTTCATCTTTTTAATAAATTTTTCAATTCTTTCCACAAGATTAATATATGTTTCTGCATCATCTTGCTGAAGCAAAAATGTAAGCATGGTTTCCAAACTTATGGTTGCCATGTTGGCACTAACAAGAGGAACTTCAAGACTATCATCAGCATCTTCCAAGTCAGCATCTGCTGGGTCATTCATTCTAAAGGTTTCAACAAGCTCTGTAATAACTTGATCATCAGGGGAAACTTCATAAATAACATTTTCTTCATAAATAACATTTTCTTCAGAAATTGCTAAAAACTCTTCAACATTCATAGAGTCGGGAAAGTTAAGGGCTTCAAGTGCATCGGAAATTTCATTGAGAACAGGATCTGTAGTTTGGTTAAAATCTTCTAAAGAACTTAAATCAGAGTTGTTATCTGCAGTGATAATTCTTGTGTGATACCAGCAATTTTGAATTGCATTGGCTTTAACTTCATCCCACCCTTGAATGATAAAATGGATTGCTTGTAACACATTCATTTTTAACTCTTTTGCACATTGTTCATTTTTGACTTTTTGTAACATCTAACTTAAAAAAAACAACCTGATTAGCATTAGTATAACATCTAATCAACATATTTTTTTTAGTACTACGAATAAATTACACCAGTGTCATTCAACACCATATGTATAATTGTTTAAGATATTTAAGGTAAGGGTTAAAAATCAGAATAAAATTAAAGGTTATCATTATAAACTAAAAATTCGAAGTTAGAATTTTTTTGAAGCTAAATATTTTTACTTCATATATATAATTTTGGTTATTTCAACAGTTTTTGAAATATATAGTCATTGTGATGTTAAACACCACTGATGTGATTTAACAATACTATTTATTTATTATTATTTTTTGTTTTTAAAAAATCCTAAAACTTACCGAACATAAAAGCAATAATAGTTCCTCTTGAAATTTATAATAATAACAGCATCCATGGGCTGAATCCTCGAAGTAGTGTTTGGAGGCAAAAATTAAATATCAGTAAATCTAAGAGTAACACCACTAACATCATAACTAGAACAGTTGTCGAGTAGTAAAAGCACACATTGGCCCTGATGCTTCAAACCAACTTGGTGATCAAATTCAAGAACCTATTCTTGGAAGAGAGATATAATCATCCAGGCTTTAGAACTGTTTCTATATATTATTGACAAATTACTAACATTGATGTTTTTAAAGCAGCGTAGTTTTTTGTATTTTCCAATTATAAGAGGATTCAATTTATGAGAGCCATCAGTATTTGCACACAATGCAATTGAGAGGCATTCTTTATTTATTTTACGTTCAGAAAGACATTGGGTCGCTAATGTATGATCAGGTTCCAACCTTAAGGTAAATTTTAGTGATGGATTAAAAAAAGAAACAGAATTTAGGTTAGTTTGGTTAATATACTATATATTCATAATAGGATTAAAATAAAGGCACAAGTTATCCACTTACCGTATAGCTGCGAAATAACTTGCAGGGACATTATTTCACAGCTATATGGTAAATTTTATTCTATTTTATTTTTATTATTTATTATTATTATTTTATGATTCATTATAATAGAACGCCATATGGTGTTAGGTAAGTTTTATTTTTATTTAAAATATATTCTACTAATGGTTTATACTGATAAAAAAGCCCAGTTTTGTCCATGTTGTAGATCCTTTTAGGAGGGTAATTTGCACACTTATCTTTTATTAATGGCATAATATTATTAATTGCCACTACATTAGCAGATGCAGCTTCTCCTTGAAGCTTACGTAGATGAATGTCGTTTCGATTTTTGAACTTATAAAGCCAGCTAGAAGAAAAATTTAGTTCATCTTGCAGAATTTCTAAACCATTAGCAAGTACCTTTGCCTTTTCAACAAGTAAAGCATCAGTTAAAACTGTTCGATGTTGATAAATCAACATGAACTCTTTGAGAGCGAGATCAAGTTCTGGATAGGTAATAGTTCTGTGATGCTTTGTATTAGAATTAATGTTATCATTATCAAGTCATTCTTCAGCTGTTTTTAAAATATGTGAAATTGTGCTTTTATCGACTTTAAGGCCCCATTTGTTCTTAATCTAATTAAGATAGTGAGACCAAATTTATTTATTATTATGAGCGTAGACACAAAGCTCATGTTTTTGTGCATCAGTAAGAGTTGTTCTCTTAGGCATGTTTTTAAGCAAAAAAAAAAGCAGATTACAACGAGATAAGTTATTTAAATTATTTATTTATTTATTTATTTTATTTTACTTTATAGCTTTTATTACATAAGTCTGAGTATGACAATTTTAATCTTTTTTTTTTTTTTTTTTTTATCTCAACAGCATTATTTTTTACAAATAAGTTTTACATTTTGAAGAGTATTACTAAATTAGATATTTATTCAATTTGATTGAAATAAAGCAGAATCTTATTTTGAGTGTGTTTAGATAATTAAGCAATGTAAATTAGATAATTTAGTGAAAGATGATTCTGATAATCTATATTGAGTGAATTAATAAAATAAAACAAATGAAACTTAGAATGACTTGTAAACTGCATGCTAATATGATCAATTTGATATGAGCTAATTTTACTTAATAAATTTTTATGAACAGATTAAAAAAATAAGTTCTTAAGGCCTGAGGGCCTGAGTTTCTGTTTTTTTTTTTTTTTTTAATTTTAACCTAGGAATCCCCAGGACGCCGGTAGTGCACTTTATTGATTTTCTAATTTTGAAATATCTATTCTTAAGAAACAAAAAAAATTTAATCACAATAATTTTATACTGTACAGTCAAAGTAGTAAAACGAGATCAAGAAAATAGTGAGATTTTTTAAAAAATTCTTATGATTAATCCTACAATGTAAATTCGTGTTACAAATAATAGAATGGGTATCCATAATCCAGATATTCGTTCAATGCTATTCATGAACATCAAAACCCGTGAATATTTAATGAGTATTCCCATAAATATTCATTGAATATCCAATATTTGGTTACTCATAATTCATGAATAGTTAAGAGTTTGTAATTTATATAATTGATTCATGAGAATATTCATGTTACAAATAATAGAATGGGTATCCATAATCTGGATATTCATTCAATGCTATTCATGAACATCAAAACCCATGAATATTTAATAAGTATTCAAAGGATCTAATCTCTATAATTAAAAATCTGGATATCACCTGGTTTAAATATCAAAGACAGGTCACTCACTAATAAATGGGTCACTCTAAGTCTGATTGGATAATTAAACAAGTTTTACATATCAATCGAAAATATAAGGAGGTCTGGACTATTAATTATTAGTTTTTCTGATTACAGTTTTAGTTTCAGGTACCTGGTTGGAAAGAATGTTTGACTTGACGGGTCACGAATAAAGATTTTCAAACCAGGTTAGAACTTTAGCTATAGTAAATTGTTGATTATGTGTTTAACTTCACTTTTGATTGGCTATCTAAGTTAATTCTATAAATGCACACCTCCTCTAAGTGCACACTTATACCCAGTTCCTAGAGTGTGCACTTAGGTGGATGTGACTGTAATTACACTATCTATGCTAATTACACTAATTACACTAATTACACTAATTACACTAATTACACTATATTCTCTATATCTATTAATTACACTAATTATACTAAATTTACTAATTACGCTAATTACACTACATCTGCTAATTATGCTCTGTATATGTGCTATATCTAATGATTACTGTATATTAGTATTTGATTATATGATCTAATTTAAATGAAATATTGACAATCCCTTTTTAGATCATAACAATATCTATTTATATTAATAAATCTAATATAATAATATTTACTTTGATTATTTTCAAGATTTTCATACCATTTATAGAACTGTAATAAATATGAAGTATTTCCTTCAAAAATTGTAATTCCACTTGCTAAAGTTTTAAGATAATTAATAAATTTTAAACTTCATTCCAAAATTTATTATCTTGAATAATATCTTTAATATCTAAATTAATAGAAATAGTTGGATAGTTAATTAATTCAGTAACAGCTAAATTAATTGCTAATTAATTAAATTTAAATGAATCTAAACAATTTGCAGCTGAATTTTATCTGGTTTCAACAGGTAATTTAAGAATTTTATAATTTGATCCATATTTATCTTCTTGATATTTTTTAAAATTGCTGCAGGAATTATATGATATTTAAAATATTTTGTTATTAATATTGCATTTGATAATATTTCTTGTGCCCAATCTAATTTAATAATATCATGAATAAGTAAATTAATATTATGAGCTAAACAACCCATAAAAATAATTTTGGATATTTTTTATCTAAAATTTTCCATGCTTTTTTCATAACAGGTGCATTATCTGTTACAATTGCTGAAATTTTTTTTAAATTATAAGTTAAAATAATTTTTTTCAAATCTGCTGCAATATTAATACTATTTTGTTGAATATCATTTGTTGGCTTAGCAAATACAAATACAGGAGTTGGTGTAGAAATAATATAATTTGTCCAATGTTCTGCAACTAAATTTGATCTAAATATAAATAAAAATAATTAATTAGATTTATTTAAAAATTTATTTTATAAAAATTAATTAAATTTATATAATTTTATTAATTAATAATAAAATTATTTACTAGCCATCACTAATAATACTAATAAATTCAGCTTTATCAATTGTATTATCAACTTCTTTTTTAGTATTTTCATATATTTTATTTAATAATGTTGTTAAAAGTTTTTTCTGCTTGGTAACTGTAAAGCTAGCCTAATTTTTTTAAACAAATTTTTAACTGGTTTTAATTCTAATAAAGATAAAGACAAACTACATTCAAAAATTGTTTGTGCTATTGATAATTCAATATCTTTTTGTTCAGACTGAGAAATTCCATCAAGAAAATTTTGTATATTTGTATTTCTTTAACTATTTATATTTATTACTGATGTTCTATTTATTAATTCTTGAAAAGTAGGTCCAAAATATTGTTGCTTAGTTTCTAAATCAATATGATTACATACTTTTAAATATCCTTCACATCTTACTACTGATTTATTACTTTTATGATTACAGTAATTACATTGAGCATGGCCTTGCTTAAAGTTTTCATCTGATCCAATTTTTGTAAAATGTTTCCAAATATCATGATTATCACCCATTTTATATTTATTAGAAAAAAAACTTAATGATATTTATATTTATTTATTTTAATAAAGAAAAAATTTTGGTAAGTAAAAGATACCAATGGCAAAAAGGTAAAAATTTTACAAATATATACATATATATGTGAAATGATATACAAATAAATAAATTCTTTATAGAAATGCATATATCTATATAAAAATACTTATTAAGTACAATATACATGCATAAAACAATATACAGACTAAATTTAAAATTTAAATTTGGAATTACGTAGTTAACTATGATTAATCCAGAAAAAGTATTAATAATTCTATATTACATTTCGCTGTAAATCAATTATTAATAAGGTAGCTGTGTTAGAAATATGGAACAAATCAAATATAGTAGTTAACAAATAACTTAAATAATGTACATATGAGAACTAATCTAGCATCTAATTAATATATTGTAAAACATTTAATATATACTATTAGGCAGTTGACTCTTAATAGACAATTAAACAGAAACTTACAATTCATCTTTAATAAATGATCAGATTATCCATAAAATTATTTTGCTATTTTTTTAAAAATTAGCACAAATATGTTAATGCAGGCCAGATATTAGATTAATGCTAACCAGATAATATGCCAGCTAGATATGTTTATTTTGGAACTATATAAAATCCTATACAGGATCTAAAAATATCCCATCTCTAGACATAAGCAAAAGATACCAATGACAAAGAAGGTAATTCTTATCATATATATAAATAAACATGTATGAAATGGTATGCAAATAAATAAAATTTTAATTAGGAATTAGCTAAATATGTTATTGCAGATAAATATTATATTAATGCTAGCCAGATGCTATGATAATGCTGGCCAGATAATCTTATTATGGGATCATATTAAAAATTCTGCACAGGATCCAAAAAAATCCCACACGTGCCCATCTCTAGCCCAGGCCAATTAGTACTTAACAAAAGCAGCCACCTTAGCAGAAATTAGCATTACTCCTATTACTCAAAAAGAATTTGCTCATTCGTAGCTAAACACTATAGATCGAATCAAACAACATAAACATACAATTTGGCAAGCACACAATTATAAAAAAAAACAGAAACAAACTGAATGCATTAAGTTCTATATTAATCACAGTTACACTGACTTTAAAGACAATACTAGTTGAATGCTAAATAGTTTTTTACAAAGGCAAGCAAAACCAATTAGTTACGATAAAGTCAGAACATTTGACAGTGTAATTACAAATCAAAAAAAGATTAAAAAAACTGTACACACCCATTTTTCAAAAACTGAACAAAAAACAACCCTCCTAACAATTCCTTATAGGAAGAATGGAAGCCATTCTACTCTTCACCTCAGCACATACAGAATGATATTTACAATACTCTTTTCTCATCTATTTCAATAACTGAACTGATACAAACAATAAATCTAGCCTTTAAAGGAAAAGCAACTGGACCTTCTGGAATTGCAAATGAAGTTCTTCAGCAATTGCCATTCTCAGCTCTTACAGTTTTACTAAATATCTTCAATAGCTGCATAACACAAGAAATAGTCTCAAACTAATGGTTACAGGCTAATATTTGGCTGATTTCTAAAAAACAACAATATAATTATGAACTAAAGACCACCCATCCAATTACTTTAATAGACCATACTAGAAAAATTTTTACAAAAATTTTAACAAATCATTTAACAGACATTCTAGTTCACAACTAAGTACTTTCTCCTCACAATTTTGCAGCTTTCCCTCACTAATCAACAATTTAACCTATTTCTCAACTTAC